GAGCGGACGCATCGCAGGACCGGAGATGGATGTTCAGATGCACGATCGACAGGTGATTGCATGTTGTGGATCAGCAGATGACAACGTTGTGCGCGGCGCGACTCAAAACGAAGTACCTTCAACCACCATCTAATCAAATCAGGGCGAGGAAGGGGGCGTCAGCAAATCTCAGATCTCTGTTTCCTGTACTGACGAAACAGGGCTGTCCGACTCGTCGGACGACGGCAGGAATTTCCAATCAAGCCATTTCGTCCGACGAAGAGTGTCCATTTTCCGATCTTCGGTATGCAGAGGAGAGCTGTCATTGTCAGCAATTGACCAGGCCACAAACGATGCTTACTGCTGACATCCCGCCTTTGCTGCCCGAGCGGCACGTGCCGACTGGCAGGCCCTTTCACGGGATGTAGATGGGCTGAGCTTCCTTGCACTGTCATGCTTCTAGCCGAACTCTGCAACTGTAGCATTGAGTACTTCACTCTGCGCGGACGGTTGGTGTAGTCCGTCATGCAGATGGAAATTGCAGCCAGGATGCGAAATCCACAGACGGGGCAGCAAGAGCAGTGGGACGAGCATTGGCTGCCCGGCATGATGTTCGGAAGTTGGTGCCATGTCAAGAACCAGCCATGATGCGCATATCTTCTGCCGAGGCAGATGCCAAAGAGCGCCAGGAACTTGACTGCTGAGCTCGTAGTCAGATGAGGGCTTGTTTCATAGCAAACGAAATCCTTCCCCATCATTTTCAAGATGATCTGGTACTTCTGGAAACTCCGGATGCGCCCTCGCAGCACCAGAAACGATGTCTGGCTGCACGGCTTTTGAAACACAGGCCCACTTGATGCGAAAGTACACACCAGGATCCATACATCTGCCCAGAGCTTACACGACGAGCAGCGTCGATGACTCTGGGGTCGCGGTCCCCAAGGGCATGGCTTCATCCCTATACTCTGGTGCCGATGGATGTTCTTCGCTCAGGCGCTGCATGGGTCGTCCACCTGACCACCTCGTTCGGGGACGGGATGACGATGAGGCCCACGCCATCATCGTTCGCCCGTCGCAAGCTCTTTCGGTTATTGGGGATTGACTGCACTATGCACTTGCTGCGAGGATCCTTTGATGTGAACAAGCCGCGGTATGCTTCTATCGCAGAAAGCTTGCGACTGCCTGCGCGAAATAGCTGCAGACGTGTACATATGTTTTCTCTTTGTGTGAGGCGAAGTAACAATTTGTTTCACAGGTTCTGGTGCGCTGCCAAGCAGCGCAAGCCTGCAAATCAGATCAGCAGAACCGAAGGAGCTGGCTAAAGGTTGGCAGCGGCCGCATCAAAGCTTCTAGAACCGGAGCATCGCTTCAAGCGAGAAGTTCCCACCATATGCAAATGGTCATTGAGCTTTTGTTTTCGCCCGGCAACCGCTAAAATAATCCTGAGTAGAGAGAGTTCGTGAGCATTAGAGTTGGGCGATTTCACAAACCGTGTCCGAAGGGGTTTCCTTCATGCTCAACGGAAAGCAGTAATTGGACTAGCGGCCGAAAATCAGTCGTCGAAAGCGGAGTGACGTAGCCACAGAGAAACCTGCCAAGAGATGGGCAGCAACGCCGCATCTGCATGCAGCCATGCAAGTCGCAGAGAAGCTACAGCTACTGAAGCCCCACAGCCAGTTTACTCTGCATCAAATGGCTTTTGCCGTTGCAGCGACCTGAAATGCGGTTTGCAGTTCCAAGATTTTCCAGTGAAGCCTGAGAGCTGGTTCTGAGGCGCAGCGGGCCGGCTACGGCCGAAGTGGCTCTAGGTCGCCGCGCTTGCAGAAGCAGGTGGAGGCCAGTCATGAACAAGCCAAATCGTGCCAAACCAGATGGATGTTGCATTTTTTCGATCGTAGGCTAAGTCATCAGCTGCAGCGTTCACGGCAAAGCTTTTCACCGTACAGTGACAATGCACCACGAACAAGGATGCGGTGGGGCTATGACTTTCCCTCTCTCACACTCACACTCCCTCACCCCACTCTCGCTCTCGCTCGCTCTCTCTCTCTCTCTCTCTCTCTCTCTCCCTCCCTCTCTCTGTCTGTCTGTCTCTCCCCAGGAGGTTGGACTTTAGAAATTAGCCGGCAAATCTTGACCCAAACGCACCCAAACTGCGTTTCCCGCCAACCAGTTGCGACGTAGCCCGTGTGCTCCTTGCCCACAATGTGACGGAGCCCGATGTTTCTTTCCACGGGGTGCTACAAGGAACCGAGACATGAAGGAAATGGTTTAAAGCAGTTCAGCTGTAATAAAACTGACCGGGTCAATTGGTTTCTCAAGTCAATCAACGATCACCCGAGAATCTCGCGCGGCGGTTCAATCAGGTTGAAGAAGACCATGGTGGGTTCGCAGCTCGGTACTGGCCTAATCCATCTCGGATGGCAATGTTTCACTCTCAGGCCCGACGGATTGCCGTGCGACTTCAAGGGTGGCTTCAATGCGCAGTCAGCGCCCCGTCGTTTGCGCTTCCGGGATTCTCGAGACGGCCGGCAGGCGTGAAGATGATGACCAGCTTCGCAAACAGGTGTTAAGCCCGTATCCATCGAGAGACCGCCATAATACTTGTAGTTAGGCGATGACGGTGTGTGTTGCAACGGGATTCTGTAGAGCGCACTACATGCTTGGCCCCCAAGACTGGGTCCTCATGCTTCGGAATGTCTTCAATCTGGATGGCCAGAAACTGGATGGTCTTCGCAAGTGGGGTATCGAGATGTGTGACCCACCAGTAAAAAGGAAGTTCATTGCAGGCTTCAGTCAATGCCTCGTCAGAGGAGAATGAGCCCTTCGCGGCCCTATCGGCCGGCTGCTTGCTCAGGATGCGCATGCAGCGGGACTTCTTGGCCCAGTTTCTCGTGCTCGCCACCTAGTGGCCTAGCGCTTCGCAGTGGTTGGAAGGGGGTTTCCAGAAGCGAGCAGCAGGCCAGAGCAACCTCATGCTGCCAAAAGCCCCAACGCGCCCCGCGAGGCAGATTTCTTTGTGAGTTTTACTCTGTGCCTGCCATGCCCTGAACGGTCCAGAGGCTGCAGCTGGATTGCCGGTTGAAGCTGCGAAGGTGGCTGCATGCCAGGCTGTGCCTAAAGCGCGCGCTTGTGTTTTTGCGCAGGTTTTGATGCTGGGTCCTGGTCCTAGTGGCGGTGCCTGCCCTGGCTGAGTCGCTGAGTCAGCAGCAGCCTGCAGCCTGCAGCGCTCAGGAGCTGCGCCCTGGCTGGGCTTGCCTGCTGGCGTTGTGCCACGCTGAGCAAAGGGTGCAATGGATTCTCTACGGCCTTCGACTGGAGAGGCTGTGTTCTGGGATCGGCCGAACTCCGAAAACTAGTATGTCCGGGTACACAGCCTGAGCTATCATTCGGGGCAATGCGTGTGACACATCGTGGACGCCGGATCGAGAACACAACATGGATCTTTGCACGTGCTCGAAGGACGCCAGACTGTTCTTTCATTTCTTGATCTGACTAGATGCAGAAGAATAGAGGCAACGCCCACCTTCGAAGCTGTCACCGAAGACAGCCGCCAGGAGTAGCAGTCCTTGCAGCAGGCACCCATCCCCGAGCTGATCCACTGCCACCTCCTGCACTTTCTAGCTGAGACGAGGTTCTATACTCGCTTTGCACGATTGCGCCGCACGTCCTCTGCCGTGCTTTGCTTTGAGCCTCGCTTTGCGTCTTTCAGCGCTTTTTTCTGCACGAGCCTTGCCTCGGCTCCCTGCGGGTCCCGGGTCGCGGCCACCGGGGCTTGATTGCGACACGGTAGGTTGTAGGTTGGGATACGGCCGACGGCCGGCGCCTGCAAGTGAGCACAGCACCCCCTGTTTCATGCGTGTTTCAGGTCACAGCGGCAGGTTGTATGTTCAGAACCTGGAGTTCGATCCCGTCTTCGTCTGCTGAAATGCCCACCCACCCCCAGGCGGGTTAGTTTCATGGATGCCAGGGACGTTTGCTTCTTTGGGGTCTGTGCGCTGCAGGTAGTTGAGGCACTGCAGGGCTGAAAGGTCAGGACCGGCTTTGGTTGCAGTGATGCTCAATGCTTTCGGCACAACGGAGCAACTGAAGCTCCACTGCTCCATCATTGTCCACCGTTCCTGTGCAAGCATCAACGATCCGGTTCAGACTGCTGCATGCATGCCCCTTGACTCACTGCTTTCCGACCATGCCGTCGCCGGAATGCCTCCCACTGCTTCCTCGAAGCTGTAGGGAAAAGCCTTGAAAACGCGGAGCAACCTTGGTAGAGACGACGTGGGCTACGTCGCCGTGCGTCACAAAATCAGCTTCACCATGCACCACCGCACTGCAAAGCATTCGGCTGGAACGGTTTGCTCAGCTCCTAGATGGCGATCGAAGCCATCCTCCAGGAAGCAGCCAGCGTTAGTTGTGGCGCGGAGGAGCGTCAACGTTTCATTCGATACTCGTAACCGGGACCGGACGGTCATGCAGTTAAAACCAGCCCGGGGACTTTCGGAGGTGCCATGTGTTGTCATGTGCAGTCCGCTTCGCAAGCGCTAGCAGCACCCATGTTGCTTCTCCAAAGCGGACCCATCGTGGCTGCCTTTGTAAGAGCTTGGCGCCTGCCCTTCAGGTCCGCGTGCCTCGCAGTATCCAAAGTTCGCCTCGCATAAGCACGGGACAGCAGTGGGGGAAAGCAAGGCTGCTCCCATTGATCGAAGAGAAAACCCAGTCGACAACGGAACAAATCATGAGCTTTGGAATCTCGTCCCAAGAGGAGCTTCACATCGCTGCGTCACTGACGCAAATAGCTTCTGATGCTTTTCTGCAGAGGGAGAGGCGGATTGCAACAGAGGGTGTGATAAAAGCATGCCAGCGCCCGTTGTGGACGGTGAGAGATGCTCGCCCTTGGCATGTAGTCGGTGTGCACCGGCAAGGAAATCGATTCAGTGTGACGTGCAAAATACGCGGTTGTGTCTCCTATGAAAGAGTTTAAATCGTCAGTCCGCATAGCCAGAACCGAGGCATGCGTAGCAGCAACGATGCGGCTCTTCTCGCGACTTCTGCCTGGCAGTGTGAGGTTCCTAATTTGGACGCACATGGGGTCAAGTGAGACTCAGCGACCAAGCTATACAGAGCAGATCTCACAAAATGCGCAGTCAGCAAAGCGAGCGTGCCCCAGGTGGCTGAGGGCATGTGCGACGAGCTGTGCAAGCAGGCGTGTCACCAGCAGTAAACTTCAAGTGGCAGCAATGCATTAAAGACGGTTGGAAGAACTTCATGTGAGGCTGCGGCAGATCCATCAATGCCCGTGGAGCACAGAGCTAAAGCTTGTCGAACCCTTTGGATGCTGTTCCAGACGAGCTGATTGTCTTGAGAAGCTTTAGGCTGGATGCGCTCGCAACGCGAGTCGGCCTCGTGAGCTGTCCGATTCCCTCTGCGGTGCCGGCACTTCAGGCACAAAGACACGTATTCGATGTGCACAAGACCTTCCTGAAGCAAGTTTAGTGTTGTGTGGGCTGTGCTGAGTCTATGCGACAGTGACGTTCTGGCGGTTGTGGCTCGAAACCTGCAGCAATGATCGCTTGCTCTTTCATGACGTTTTGGCTGACAAGTTTTGCAAGATCCCTATCAAGTCACTTGCCTGCACTGGCTTGTGCACGGTGCGTGTGTAACACGTCCGGCTTTGTTCAGCTGGAAATTCAAGGATGGTTCTTCTGTCGTTGGCTCCTGAGCGTGACCCGGCTGCCTGTGTGCTTAGTCCCTGTCAAGCTCTTAGTATCGTTTCGTGTTTTAACTTGAAGTTGTGAAGAGAAGACGGCAGTCTGCACCGCCGATGTCTCGTTTGTGTGTGCGCATGTGCGCATGAACGCCTCGTCTGAAGACTCAAACGGTCAGAGGCTTTGTTGGATATCGACGATGCGGTGGCTGACCTGCATGAGAAGGACTGAGGTAACTTCATCATCGTTCGCGGCACTCTCTGATGTGACAGATTCCAGCATTTTAACATGGTTACTTGCAAGGAGAAGGCGGCGATCAGCTATCAGCCTCGAGAACATCAGTTTGAAGAAGGAGCCGGGCCCCAGCATCCAGGCGAAGAAGCATGTAACAATGTAGCTTCTGCAGGTGGAGGTGGGTCAACATCGGCAGATTGCACCCCAGGTCGTGATTGTAGGCTGCAAGCCTCAGGCCCTCCACCAGGGGCCGAGGGCGCCAGGACCGCTCCAGGCCAAAACAGGGAAGCTTTGGTGTGTCAGGGGGAGAGGGAGAGCTCTATTCCCACAGCTGGGGTTCACAGCCGTCTTCGCAGGCGAGTCGCAGGGCTCTCGCGGTCGGGATGCATGCACCCTCACGACTGAGAGCCGAATCCTCAATCTCTGCCTTCGACTGCAATCTGTCGCAGTGCCTTCTCTTCGCTTAGGCCTTCGCAGGCGCGGTACGAGCGATGCAAGCTCAGAGAGAGAGGCGGAGTCGGACCACCAGGCCTTTGCCTTCTTCCTTTCAGAGAAGGGAAACGCTTCACATCGCTTCACGTCTGTGTCCTTGGGAGGATGCCGAGACAGACTCGAGCCCGAGGCAGAGCTGGGCTTCGGAGGCTCTGAGAAAGCAGAGGCCTCAGGCCGCAGCCGCATCGCAGCTTTCGTCAGGACCGGACGCCTCGGAGCGACTCGCCTGAGACCCCGCGGCCTGAGGTGGGCATCGGGCCGGACCTCCCTTTTTGTGGCGTCTGTTCCCTGCGCTTCCCTGAAGGTTCCGACACGAGATGTTGCACCTGCCAAAACTGTGAATCCAGTGACGGTGTTTGTTGGCAGCATTGGCAGCGTAGCTTCGCATCGCCACAGTGTTGGCGGTACATCCCCAATTCGACTCAAGTGTGAGGTATGTGAGGTCATTGAACGGCAAGCTGTTGTTGGAGCTGCAGCAAACACGCACTGGGCTCGGAGTTTCTTCGTCTTCTGGAGTGGTGCCTGTGGTGTTGTCAGGGACATATGCTCGGGTCTCCAAGTATCAATCCTGTTGTTTTGTTTTTATGGCTACGGGTCTATGGTGCTCGTACTAACCTGTGGCGCTTCGATTGATGTGCGAACAAGCTCTCAACAACTTGCATATCCGTATGATAGACCATGTCCTTGCTTCCATTAGCAAGGCCGACAATTCCTGGAAACTAATCTTCAGAACAGGCAGTGCGGCTTGGTTTTATAACTGCACCCGCAACGAACAGAAAGACATGTCAGCAAAAGATGTGCACTGGAACGTTTACACAGGAAGGTGGTTGGCCGAAACCCTCGTCTGCGCACTTCCCCTACCGACCCGGCATCCTTACTGACGCAGATCTGTACATTGCACAGTATGTCTTTTGTATCGTTATACAACTGTATTGTTTTACACGTGCGAATGACGCTCACGCGCACGCACCAAGTATTCATGTTCACGCATAAACACGTACACGAAAAGTGTATGTGTATCCGGGTACGGTTCTGCTGCGCCGAGGTTATCGGCACCTGCTCATATTGCCCTTGAAGCACTTCGTTTGCGGGCTATTGCATATTTGTCCGAATACGTGCCACCTCATTTATGGACACGACAAGCTGGGACTGGATGAGAAGTGCCTGGGCTGCAAGTTGTTGAAGCTTATCTTGCTTATGGGCCAGGCAACTTTTCATGTCAACCCAACCCAATTGAACCCAATTCAACGCAACTCATCCAACTCAACCCGAGCCACCAACCAACATCAAGTAACCCAACACAACCAAACCCAACAAAACCAAATCCAACCAACCAAAACGGAGACAACCAAACCTAACCAACCAACCAACCAACCAACCAGCCAGCCAGCCAGCCAGCCAGCCAGCCAACCAACCAACCAACCAACCAACCAACCAACCAACCCAACGCCCAACCCAAGCAACCAGCCCAACCCAACCAACCAGCCAGCAATTCAGCCAGCCAACCAATCAACCAACCCACCAATCCATCCTATTAACCAACCTACCAACCTCCCAACCTACCAAGCTAATGGACCAGCCTACCAATGTACCCACCGAATGGACCAACCAACTTACCAACACCTATCAACACCTACCAACACCTACCAACACCTACCACTGCCTACCTACCTACCCACGTACCTACCTACCTACCGTCCTACTGTTGATGCCCAAAATCCTGCAGGACCTGGATCATCGCACATATCTCACGTCGCACTGTCCATTTCCCTGCAACCCCTTAGTTTCAAAGTTGCATCGCCGTGGGTCATGCAGGATTTTGGGCATTCGCACAAGCCTTGGCTTAACCCCCGCATCAATGCAATGTAAAAGGTAAGGGTAGCAGGGGAGCCGTGGGGACGTTCAAAGTCATGTAGGATTTTGGGCCTACACCTCCCTCCCTCTACCTTCTTACCTACACCTCCCTGCCGACCTCCCTGCCGACACCGACCTACTTAAACTTACCTTCTTGCACCTGCTTACACTTCTACCTACCTACACCCACCACCTGCACCAGTCTACCGACACCTAACTACCTGGAGCTACCCATATCTACCTGCCTCCCAACACCTACTTACACCTACCTACACCTACCTACCTACACCTACCTACACCAGCCTGCACCTACCTGGACCTTCCTGCACCTACCTCCACCTACCCACACTTACCACCTACCTCCACCTAACTCCACTTGCCTCTACCTCCGTGCCTTCCTGTTTTCCTTCCTTCCTACCCACACTTCCACCCGCCCACCCACAAGCCTGCCCATCCACCTACCTGCCTACCTGCGTACCTGCCTACCTGCCTACCTGCCTACCTGCCTACCAAACCCTGCTACCTAACCCCCTGTACGAATGCGACGCACTTTTCCCGATACGATACCTTTTCCTGTACCGGTACCTACACCTGTATCCACTCCCACCCACCTACCGACCGACCCACCCACCCACGCACGCACGCACCCGCCCACCCAGCCACCGACCCACCCACCCACCCAACCACCCAACCTGCTAACCTACCTTCTAACCTACTGACGTAAATACTACCTACTAACTTACCGAGTAACCTGGCTGCCAATCAGCCTGCACCTACCTAACTACCGAGCCTACCTAATCTACCTCACCTACCTAACCTGCGAACCTACCTAGTTGACTTAGCTGACCTAGCCTGCCTAGCCTACCTAGCCTACCTAGCCTGCCTAACCTACCAAACCTACGTAGCCTACCTTGCCTACGATGACCGATCTCCCTACTACCGCACCACCGAACACTGAGCTACGTACTAATCTACCTAGCCTACTAGCCTGCGTACTAATCTGCCTGACCTACTGAACTGCCTAACCTATTTGAATGCCTGGCCTACAAACCTGCCTAATATACCAGCCTACCAACCTTCCAACCTATCCTAACCTACCCTACCCCCAGCCCAGCTAAACCTCAAATGACTTGTACCTACGTACCTACCTACCTATGTACAGACCTACCTCCGCATGATCATTCAAACCGCAAGGCTTCAGAACAGGCTTGTGGCTGGATCTGACGTTGTGGACTTGATCCTGTATAAGCGGGGCCGTCCACCACGGGCTGCAAAACAGGCAAGGACGACTGTCGCATGCTTCCTTCTGTTTTGTGTTTGCAGCCGCGTGCTTCAAGAGCACTTGGACATGCAACAGGCAGCGTCGGATTGAAGTCGCGACTGGGCAGTCAAAAGAATGGTTGCCACTGTTTAAGCTCGGTCTGTATGAACAGATCCAAGGCCCACATGCGCTCGCAGCAAGCCTGAGCTTCTTGTCGCGAAGTAGTTCGAAGGGGAGTCACGAGCACAGCTTGCCGCCGGTACGCCTGGTTCGAAGAATCTCGCGATCTCTGGCGAACCTCAAGTCCCCTTCGCCACCCAATGGGCTGGCGGTTGCTCTAAGCACACCGCAAGATTGGAGAAGAACTTCTGCCCGAGCACAGCATTGAGGGTGAAAAGGCTCGCATCTTCAGAGCCTGAAGCCCTGCAACCGACTTCACAGGTCGTGCAGGGGCCCCCATGTCGACCCACAAAACGTTTGTTGCTTCGCCCAACGGGCTCAATTGCAGGACATGGTCAAGAATCGCATGACAGCTTGCTGTGTCCTGCTCGAGTCATATGTGGGCTTCTTAGTGGATCCTGCAGCGCCGAGAGCTTCCAGAGAATCCTCAGAGTGCCAAGGTTGGGGTGATAGAGGACGACCACACGGGGGAAGAGCTAGAAGAAGAGGTCAGAGCGGGGACGGCATGATCAGAGCGCCTGCCATCCGAGAGTCGGGACATCGCTTTTTGCTTTCGTTTTGTCTCTGTGCAGGTTGGGAGCCACTGTGTCTTGGTCGTGGGCGGTGACCTGCTAGGACCGAGCGATCTGACGGAGACTCGGCCGAAGCTCGCGGCACATGGCCCAGGACCGAACTACGTGACTTTCGACCCCTGGGGGATGCGCGGTGGTGAGGCGCGCGGCGCGGAGAGCGGGTTCTAACGAGCACTGCCTCGACTCGTACGGATGGCTTTGAGGTGTCGCTGTGGCAGTCGCACTCCATGGCAGCGGCTTCGCCGCTGGCCTGGGCCTGGAGCTTGGGCTAACGGTCCATGGGTCCATGCTTGCAAGTGTCGGTCGCGTGAGAATGTCAGGTGCAGCTCTCGCTCCCCGCGCCGAGTCTTTAACGGAAAAGATCAGGAGTTGTTTGTGGATGCCGGGTGTCTGGTTTCTACAGTAGATCTCCAGCCGCATGAGGGTGTTCCTTCGCCGTGCACATTAGCCTTTGTCGGCACTCGCCACTGCAGCTGTGCCAGTCAAGACACCCAACCACCCGCACAGACTAAGCTCGAGTTTAGGTTTATGTTCGGACGCATCCAAGCGTCGCCATAGTTCCCAGCTCAAAATCCAAGTCGACAAACTACGCACAGTGCCAAATGCTACCCTTGTTGACCGTGCCAGAGCCATTATGACCAGTCCTTCGCACGAGCTCAAATTTAATAGTGTCATGGGTCAATGATGGTTTCGACACAACCAATGTGTAGTAAGATACACTCGTGCAACTTGCGCACACGGAATGGCTGTGCTCCGAGATGGTAGCTGATTGAGGAGGTCGCAGTGGGTCGTGAGATTGCGAGTGAGATTGATGCATCTGGTTTGGCATCTGTGTGTCTGTCGGGTTAGCCGTGAGCTTAGGAAGCAACTAGGCCGGTGATGTAAGCGCGCGCAGGGCAATGCTGCGTGCACGCCTGCAGGATCGATGGAGGGCGTGGAGGGTGCAGAGGATGTGGAGGTGGAGGCCACTCTGCGAAGTCTCAGGTCCCCGGGTCCCCGTCGAACTTGGTCCTGAGCAGGATGAGTCTTTGGCCAGCCAACTGTCCCGCGCTATGGGGGTGGGCAAAGAGGCTCTCAACTGCGTTGAGAGCCACTTCCTCCTTTCTGCAGACCAGTCTTGAGTTTTGAAAGGCTGACCTGCCTAACCAAAACGGCACGAACACGGAGGGCAGCAAGGAGGCTACGAAGCAAGAAGCGCGAACACTGATGCGGTGTGTGACAGTAGCTGCAGCAGTGCTCCCATCGATGGCACTCATCCGCAGTGTCAGCGGAATGCATCTTGGTTTGGCTCAAGTTGCCTGCCTCTAAGACAAAGAAAAGGATAGAAATCATGGGCTGTGCAGCAGGCCTTCCGGTGCAGCCCCTTGATGCCAACGGGCAGCACAGACCAGGCAGCCATAGAATTGGAGTATTGTCCAAGAATGTCGTGGATCAATTGAAGATTCAGAAGGCGCAGATGGTAGAGTCGTCCTGGGACTCCGCAACTTGGAACCGAGACATTCCTAAGGGAGTGCCCTTGAAGCCGAATCGGATTCTGCATGAAAGGCACCTCAAGGTCATGAACATGTTCCGAAAAGAGGTGGAGGTCGCACCCGAAACTTTCAGCGATATTATTTCTGCAAGGCGGCAGATTAGTACTAACAGCTAGAGGGGCATCCTCTCCTCTCGGCAGCACGGACTGGATGATCATCGTGGGCGTTCTCTTGTGCGATTGTATTCAGTCGTTTTCTTCCCGACAAACTTGGATGTCTTCTGGCAGCCACTCGTCTGACTCTTGATTTTCCAACTAATTATCATTGCAGTGCCCCGTGGCTCTTTGTGTACCAGACTCGATTTTGTTCGCGAGTCCAGTTGGTATCATGCCCATGGGCCATGCTGGCACATCTTCAGCTTCAAAGAAGCTCCAGCGCTGCTATCAGCGGCATTTCGATATTTAACAGCTGAACGTTATTCGTATTTTACAACTCTTGTGCAGGGCTCTACCCGGTGCGTGCGCTGCTGGCGCAGGTAGTGGTCAAAGATAGCTTGAAGCGAGCTTCTTCTACACGCCGATTCGTCTGCAGCCTGCGCAATTGCCTTGCATCGTTTTGTACAGATTGTAAAATGTATTTTTTATGCAGAAGCTTCACGCTTAACGATCCTCCATGGTAGAATATTGTCGGATGGAGGGTGGTACAGGGGATGCGGCGGAGCAAGCCACAAGGTCAGCACGTCGCCTGTTGATTATACAGAGTGTTTAGCAAATTTTCAGCGGAGTGCACTGCCAGATGTGGCAACATGTCTCTTCAAACATGACCTCAAGACCTCAAGCATAGAAGGACAGCTCTCGCTGTCTCAATTCGACCCATCTGGCAGAGTATCGCTTTGACCGGCCACAGCTTGGCGGACGCCCTGCTTGTGCCCTGGGGACGCGTCCCACCGCGGCGTGCTTGGATGTGAAGAAATCATTGGTGCACCACTGGTTTAGCCCATGTTTGAAGTTCGAGAGATGCCTACGCGTCTTGCAGGTCAAAGTAGAGGATGCTGGAGATGGCAAGGCCGACGGAGACGTGCAGGCTTTGGGACCGCGATTTCGCCGATGCAAGACCTGCATCAAAGACTGAACTCTGCTGTTTCACGGTACTGAGCCGGTGGCAATGCAAAGAAGTCCGGAAATCGTGCACGCGGCTTGAAAACGTTCTCTCAGAACTCGTGGAGGCGCAGCCAGCGAACCTGCAGCATGCTGAAGCGGATGCAGGCCAGCATTTTTAGATTTCCAGGAGAGAGACTGGGCAGGTTGGGTTGCTAAAGACAGCTCCATACGGGAAGCAGATACCCAGAGACCGGCACCGTTACCCTCACTGAAGCCCTGTTCAGGTCCAGAGGTAGTGCCTGCTGCAGAGGCGCGGAATGAAATGTCATCAGCCTTGGTTCATACATCAAGTTCAGGTAAACCCAAATCGAGCGTGACAGGACCAAATAGACGACATTGTGCCATTCATCTGCTACGACGAGGAGAAGGGCAGCTTCTCCAAGGCCTCAAAAGACTCAGAAGCTCCAGAAGTGTCAATCAGCGCAGCAGTCAGCATCATTGCGTGTGCGTGTGCGCGCATCGAAATTTCGATGGCTCTTGCCATGCCAGGATGACAGATGGATCTTGCCGAAGCGAAACCAGTTTCCGCTGATCTTCTGTGCACTTCGAGCCGACAGCTCGAAAGCTCCAAGTGCAGTTCTTCCAGAGCTTCAGTGAATACACTCTAGGGACTTTGTGCCCGTATTAGGTTCGGATTCGGCTGGAACCCATCGAGCCTTCCGGCGGCTCTGCGCAGTGTCCTTGGCCGATATCAGCAGTGTTGCTGGTGCAACAGAGACTGTCAAGCATGCACTTGTCCTTCTGAGCTCGCTTTGTGCGCCTTTTATCCCACAGGAATCCGTGGAATCTCACGCCAGAGCAGGCTGGACGATGCTGGACGTGGAGTAGCCGTTATTTATGTGGCACCTGGCTGTTTTGCCAGGTGGAGGTACTTCTGCGGAAACTCCTCGGCCTGGGGGATCTGCTGGTGCGCTTCGATGCCGGTGCCCGAGCGGTGCCCGAGTGACTTGAATTTTTTTTCGCGACGGTCAAAAGCCACGAGCCAAGGATTGCCGTGATCGGATCGATGCAGCCCGGGCCCAGTGGATTTGGATCCGATCTCAACCCAGCCAAGTATGCAACTCAAGATAAAGGTGACCAATGCACGCGAGTTGATTGCGGCCCTCAAAGCTGATTTACCAGCAGGCTCCCGGCATCGCATCGTGTCGCCACTTTCATGTCCCAACACATACAATCGCCCGCTTGGTTTGCATTGCTTCGCAAAGCAATGTGCTGTCACAAAACGGAGGGTTGTTCGGCTGTGACAGAGGCCCTGGAATCGCTTCGACTCAACCTTGCAGATCCAGCTAGCTAGCTGCTTATGCGTTTTGGAAGGTGGCTGCTGTGATCGCAAGGCTGCCGTTCGCATGGGAAACCGCAAGAGCCATGTAGGAGTGTCGATTTGTATGTGTTTGGATACAGACGACAACACTATCACAACAAAGCTTCATGCAGTTCTGCAGCCCACCGGTCAGATTTTCATAAGCAGCCTGGGTGTGCCCACCGTCCTGGCTGGGCAATGACAACGCTGGCGTTCCTAAAAATGTGCAGTCACGACCGCGTCTGATCATCTGCGTAAACATTCCTAGAGCCCTTGACGCCCCTATGCCCCAATCCAAGGTTTTGGTTTGGCTCGGCATGGTCATACCTTCTTTGGCATTCCGCTGGTTTCGAACACCGACGCCTCCTGCCCTGCCTCCTTACCAGGCCCCGACCCTGAGTGCCTACTGCGTTCCCCCACTGAGTCAGCTGCGACATGCAAAGTGGATGGCCATCGCTCTTGAGGCCGCCCGATTGACCCACATTTTCCGACCTCTAGATAGTCATGCCTTGGCAAATCCTTCCCCCCACTGGTCGCTACAGCTTTGAAGCGGGCGCTGGTGCCCTTGCTTTCTCGTGTGGTGGTCGTCTTCGCGGCCATCGGACAGTGAGTGTCTGCTCGAAGCTGCCGCATGACCCTGGCGCGGCGCTTGTGGTCCCTCGAGACGCCCAAACGCGTAAGAGCCCCTCTGGCAACAATGAAATCGGCCCGGTCTGGCCCGGTCTGGAAGCTGTCTGGTTCTTCCAACATGCCTATGAAAATCATCGGCGGTCATTCTCCGCCACCATCTCCGGGCCGAATCATGTCGAACCCTTGAAGCTCTGGATGTTCGTGTTCCCACGTTCGCCAGCAGAAGATGTTTCCGACATCAAAAGGCTCACTTCTGGCATGACAGCAACACTTCTCTTCGCTTGTGTGGGGCAACAATTGCCATGCTCAGGCTTTGCTAAAATGTGCTGCCAGGCCTAGCTGTTGGCGACGTGAAGGAGGCTGGGCCGATTACTGAACAACCCCGAAATTATGTTTCAGCAAAAGCTTGGATTCGACGCGGCAGGTGTCCGAGCACCAGATGTTGGCTACCGTTGTTAATGTCGCTACCTCGGTGCGTGCTCGTTCGCACGCATTCGGGCTGTACTGCAAACCATGCGATGCGGTTGAATGTCTGCAAGCAGGTCTTGGAGACTTCGGACGACATGGATCCGGTGAGATGCTGAATTGTTAGGAGTGGTCTCGACTTTTCTGCTAAACGCTTCGTGTCGTTGGCCTCGGCTGCAGGTGGTGTGCGGGAGTGGGGGGGGGCAGATTGGGGAGGTGCCTACGAACCACCAAAAAATCCATTCACACGCGCGAAGCTTTCATCACCTGCATTGGGGCCTGTGGAGCGGTGCGAGGGGGGTCAGGTGGCCGGAAAAGAGGGGTGGGCGCTGGGGCGCTGGGGAGGAGGGGCCACAGGAGATTCCTGTAAGAAATTCTGGCCGCTTCGGTCAGGGTTTGGCGAATTGTTTCTTCGACGAATGCACCTCATGTTGTTGCGAGATGTTGTGACAAGCATGGTTAGCACAAGTTACAGGTGCAAGCTTCTGCGCTCCTTTTCTCGCTTAGGAAAGGATCAGCTCGCTGGCAGTCCGTCTCAAAGAGGCTCCGGCAGATCAAGGGACGCTTGGTTCCTGCAGGTTAGCTTGTCTGAGATGACTGAAAATGACTGGGCCACATCGGGCGACTTGATGCAACCCGCTGCGGACTTTGGTTTTGATCAGGGCGGGTCCTGCGACTCGATTGTTCTGGAGTTACCACAGCCGGCATCTTAGCACCAGGGAGGACGGGGTTTGGATTTGAATTGTCATCCGTGCAACTGGCGCCACAGGATCTGGATCATATCGGACCCAGATTTCAGAGCCAAGACTGCGAGCATTGGTCTCGGGCTCAGATTGCAGTACCAGGCTTCTGGTTTCAGTCGAGAGTGAGGTTTAGTCATGCAGTCGCTTCAGGCTTGTACCCTGGCAGCTTCTGGATGGGCTTCCTCAAATCCTGGGGAGCAGTCGGTATCTGAGTTCTTCGAGTGCAAATGAGTTCCAGCGGCTCGTGGGACCGGGCAGCAGAACATGGGTTGAGCAGGTGAAGATCGCTGAAGTCTTCTTCAGGACACTCGTTTCGAAGTACCCCAGGCTTCCCCATGCCTTCAGCTTGTGCTGGAGGAAAGTCGATCCGGACGACAAGCGCCGGGAACCCACGGTTACTGTTGCTGTCTCGGCCTGAGCGAAACCTTCAGCGAAGCCTTCTCGGAATCCAAAGTTCTCCAATCAGCGATTCCTGCAGTCTTGCAGGTTCAGTTCCGAGAACGGGAGGCCTTGTCCCAGCTGCTGCAAAGTTTGAAATGAAGGTGGTTCTCGGAGTGCAGAAATTGCATCGGATTGCGCCAGAACTTGAAAATGTGCTTCACGTTCCTGTACGACCGTTATCTGGTCCATCCCAAACAGGCAGGTTCCACCAGTTTGGTGTCGTCCCCATGTCTTACATTTCTCTGCACCTCTTTGGAATTGTTGCAGAAAAATGCGCTACGGCAGCCGTGGTGCAAACTGGCGGACTTTGAGGATGTGAAGTGCATCAGAAAACAGAGGCTCATCGGATAGTGTAAATCAGTCCTGTGGAGGAATTCAAGGCAAAAACCCTGGGGAAGCCTGTGTGCGTATCTCAAAGTTACCAGCTGTTTGCATGTCTGACCTGCGCAATCCCGCAGTCCGCTGCTAGCTGAGGCCTAGCAGACCAAAGGCTGCAGCACCCGACGCCATCGTCTCAAGCACGTGAGCGTATGTACGTTGGGGTTGTGTCGTGCGAAACCTCCCAGGCCGGCAAGTTGAAGATCAATCAGCCGACAAAGCAACACGCAGCTTACTGGCAAGCACGAGACAGTCAGAGTGACAGCTCCAGCATGAACCTCTTTATCTCCAAGGTGGAGAGTTGTGATAGCCCAGCGGCTGAGGCTCCGGCTGTGCCAAAGGCCACTGCGGCGGAGGTGGCAGAGCGGCGAAGTGCGGGGTATCGTGTGAGGATGCTTCTGGCGTCTGTGTTGTATTCGGAAAGGCGAAAGCTGCGAAAGCAGAAGACTTTGATCGGCAGCTGACGCCCGCGGAGGTGGGAGCCTGCACGAGCAGCTAATGACATGCGATGGTCGATGGGTCCACAACCATGGCATGCCGATCAGATCGCTGCGAGATCATCTCGCAGCGACAGCAGCCATTGATGTCTCAGCTGTACAAGACCGCAGAACAGCAGTTGCAGCAACAACAGTGGCAATGACTGGCAGTGCAGGAGTAGGAGTGGGTAGCATGAGCAGGAACAGGATTGGGAATAGGAGTAGGATGGAGTAGGACTAGGACGTAGGCGTAGGGGAGTACGAGTAGGACGTAGGCATAGGCGTAGGAGTACAAGGAGGAGCAGTAGGAGGAGGAGGAGGACTAGTAGTAGTTGCAGCAGCAGTAGCAGCACGTGACTCCCCGCCGAGAGTACGCAGATGTGTGATGGTAGCTCATGGTGGCCCATGCCCATTCGGCTTTTGTCTTGTGTGGCATGGCGTGTCTTCTAGCAGCGAGCTCCCAGGACCGGACCCTAACTTGAAAGCTTAGGGGAGCTCCACCAGGCTTAATCCGTATTTCCAGGAGGCACCCAGTACCAGAGACATTCCTTTGGATATTCGCTATCCTGGGCTGGCATACACCTCAGTATTGCAGTCTTGCGGGGCAGGGGCACAGCGGCCCTCCACATTTTGCCACTTGCGTGTGAGTTTCGGGAGTGAACCCAGCACTAGCAATGCTCAGGTCAAATGCGATCCGGCAGAGATGTACGGTCGCTTGGATGCGAGCGTAGCTCCCGGCAGTGCGTGGAGAGAATTTTGGAAGGTGGCACGCAGCCCGTGTAAGGTTGCATGAGCCGATGCTCTTCAGGGGTGACTCAGGAGGCTGGGTGAAGATGCAAGTTGGGGGGTGAGAGGCTATTCTTGAGACGATGACGCAGTGGGAGGGTCGTAGGGGAACTCCAGGAAGAATTGTGCAGCGAGGGGACGAGAGGACGAAAGCAGGGAGTGAGACAGAAGGAGAGGCAGAGGCCCGGAGAGAGAGGGGTGGAGAGAGAGGGAGAGAGGGGTTTTGCGGGGGGATTACAGCAACCGCATGCTGCCGCCAGATCCAACTGTGGATTGAAGATCAGTCCACTGGACCCCAAAGCCTTTACCCTCACGAACGTTGAAGGGTATGGGGCGCCCCTGCGCGGGTCTAGCTCGCTAGACCTGGACCCAAAGCAAGCAAGCAAGCAAGCAAGAGAGAGTCGTGGGGACGTTGGGCGTAGCGTCATGCGCAGGGCTTCCCATGCCTTGCAAGCAAGCAAGCAAGCAAGCAAGCAAGCAAGCAAGCGAGCAAAGAAGTCATAGGGAACACGTCCAGCAAGCAATCAAGAGTCATAGGGATCTGATCGTATTCCACTCCTCATGATGCCTCGCAGATTCGCAGATCTGCATGAGTTTGGGTGCGGTACAGTTGTGACCTGGTGTAGCTTTAGATTGAGGAGTTTGATATGTGAGTCTCGTTGAGGCATGTGAAGACATGCTTGTGTTCCAGAAACAGCTGTTAGAGTTCAGCCGAAGCTGCAGCTGCTGTGCCAACAGTGCCGCCAGGAGAATGCAGACAGAAAGCTTTGTCTGACCATCCGCTGTATCCGGGATTGCTCCAGGAAGCGCGCAGGGCCTAAGGCTTTTGCTGTATCGTTTTTGCTCGAGTACGCCGGGTGATTCGTAGACTCCTCTCAGAGGGCATAATATCAACAGTGAAGTAGCTAGGATAGCTCAATTGAACTGGCAGGACGACGTCGCGGGATTGTATTCTTCTCAGACGATCTTGCTTGACGGAGCAGCGGAAACAACAACTTTTGACTACCAGGTCCATCGAAATGTCGTCCCGACACGTTGCTGGAAGCACCGACCGGACCAGCACTGCCAGCAGTGGAAGCATGGAAATTTGTGGCAGCTCTTGCGGCATGCGAGAAGCTGCTAAGCCTCATCGATGCCCGAGCCTCTGCCTCACGACGCAAAGCATGTACTTAGATGCTCACATAACAGAGGTCGCACGAAGCCAATGCTACCTGGACTGCAACCCATGATTGGCATGCATGCTTTCGACTTTCCCAACTTCGTGCAGTCTCACATCCTTGGGTGGATATGTTCAGCCTCCGCACCTGTTCCGGATGGCAATGAAACAATCCCGGCTGGTAAAACACCAGCATGCAGTCGTTGCAGGGAGCAAGGTTAAGATGTAGCTGCAGCACAGAATTGCTGATAAGCAGTTGAGGTTTTGCATTGGTGTGGGAGCCTTTGCAGGCAATGAAAGGTCTTTCCGGAAGGCAACTGGAAGCTTTCCAGATGGCTTGCGGCCCAGAACCGAACATGGTCAAGTCAAAGATGCAAAAACTTGTGCTGCAGCACTGCACAGCGTAGGTCATGAGCCGGATGGAAAGACTCGAACGCGAAAACCAGGCAGGAGCAGAAAATCATACTGGCTGGTCCGATGCCGCATCTCGCTGGCCAGGAGCTCATGCAGCTGTTGATTCAGATGCAAGGCACCACCCCTTCGGATCATTCACATGCCACATCGGCCACCTCTGCCAGGAGTAGAGGGCGTGACATGCCTGTATCCTGAGCTTTGAAGGTTTGCTTCAGCAAACTCAGCAGCGAAATGCGCAGCTTGTAGGACGCAGACGTCCGGAAGTGTCTTTCGTCCAGATGGGTGCCTGTTGTATCAGTAGCATCCACCTTGAAGGACAAGCGCGGGCCGAGGCTGCTTCAGCCTTGTTTGTGTGCCAGGCTGGTCGGTCGATCTGTCGGTGGAAGTAGCTCAGTTTGAGGTCAATTCTGTCACTGGCACCGCAGCTGGAGTAGCGCGCGATGCTGAGAGAAACTGAGCTGAGCAAGTCGTAATAGCCAAACAGAGTAAGTTGGAGTCTGGGTTTGGGGAGCGGTGGTGCAGCACAGGCTTGAGGCTCATCGGCAGATGATGGCGCAGGCAAGGGTTTCGTCTTCGCGAATCGTCTTTGTGCTTGGACTCGTTACGACTCGTCAAGGCCCCCTCCCGGCCAATGCCGCCACCCTTTGCATTGCAGGCGACTTCTATTCTAACGGTCTTGTGCTGCATTCCTTCGTCACTGTCTATCATCGTTGGTCACTGCGTCCGTTCGTCGAAGCTGGGAAGAAGCAGCTCAGCTGAGACGCCGCTCACGCCACCTCCTGCGCCTGCGACTGCGCATGCGGCGGGGCCTTCTGTGGAGAGTCGACTCCTGATGAGTCCCTGAGTCTGTTTCGTTTTCATTAAAAACCAGGCCTTGGGCGACATGCAGAAACGAAAGGTGGGATTCTCGGAGTTTGCTGTGTCTTGAGTGTAATGCAGGCTGAGGGCACAGACATTCCTCCGCGCAGGTTTTGGCTGAAAGAGTAGCAGTAGGAGTTTTCTGCTTGTGGTGCCAGCCACTGAAAGCATGGCGGACACGGCAGGGAAGCCGATCACTTGCAAAGCAATGGTTGCCTTCGGTGTGAATGACCTGCGGGAGGAGGAGGGTGCCTTTAAAGCTGGGCGAGAACCGCAGCTCGGGGGGGAGGGAGCACAGGGAGCTATTGGCGGCAGGAGATTGTCGTGGAAGCGCCGAAGGCCGGTGAGGTCCGGGTGAAAGTGATTTGAGCCTCGGCTGCCTCGAGTACATTTGTTCTACCCTTTCAGAGCTCTGCACTTTTAGCATCGATGCTTCGAGGCAACGCCCTCTGTCACACGGACATATACACGCAGCTCGATCTCAGTATGTACTGTTGGTTCTGCACTGATGTGTAGTTCTCATTTGGCCCAGGCTCAGTGGCCAAGATCCCGAGGGCCTTTTTCCTTCCATCCTGGGACATGAGGCCAGGTCAGTTCTTTGGGCAATGAATCCACTTGATTCGAGATTGTAGTGTCATTTTCCATCATACAGAGAGAGAGAGAGAGAGAGAGAGAGAGAGAGAGATATGTACAAGGCCCCAGAGTGCAACCCGACGACACATAGTTCAGAGCCAAAGGGGAACACCACACAAAGAACAAGAACGTTACTTTCAGCCTTGAGACCCAGGTCGTAACCTATCTAGCGTGTGCCAGGACTGTTTTGTTGCGCATGAGGCTCGCAGTGTGGACCCCCAGTAGAAGCTGTAACTGCAGTCTCACCCTCTCCAGGGGGGGCACGTGGTGACAGAGCAGCTTCCCACTTTCCGTTCTGCAGTGTCCCGTCACAAGACGGAGGAGCAAGGTGGGGGAAACCGCTTTACTGTTAGGGGGTCGTACTGAAGCTTCAAGGGGGAACCACACCTTGCCGTACTCGCTTGCTGTCCTCGCCAGGAGAACCCGCTTAGAACTAAGGAATGTCGTTAGCCATAGGGGCCCGGCGACGAGGCCGGGATGCGCGGGTTTAGTGTTCTAAGCGGGGGATTCCTACACGAGAACACAGAGCAAACCGAGTAATACACTGCCGTAGTCTGGACTACCCCCGATACCGGCCACTCACTAACACAGAGGGAGGGCCGGGCGGGCCTAAGGCCTGGGGGGCGCACGCGACCCCTACGCCCTGCAGAAGAAGAAAAAGAGATATATATATATATATATATAGATATCATATACTGTAGCCATAGCTTCGCAGCTACTGCCACCACTGCCACTACCCCCACCATCACCGCCGCCGCCACCGCCCCGAATCATCCACCACCAGCCGTCACGTACCGCACGGCCACTGCCGCCGGCACATAATACTATTAATAATAGTAGTAATGATAGTAATATCAATAATGTTATTGTAGTGATAGTAATAGTAATAGTACTAGTACTAGTACTAGTACTAATACTAGTACTAGTAATAATAATAGTAATAGTAATATTAATAGTAATAGTAATAGTAATAGTAATAGTAATAGTAATAGTAATAGTAATAGCAATAGCAATAGCAATAGCAATAGCAATAGCAATAGCAATAGCAATAGCAATAGCAATAGCAATAGCAATAGCAATAGCAATAGCAATAGCAATAGTAATAATAATAGTAATCACCATCATCATCATCATCGTGGTGTCATGACTATCCGGACAAGACGCTGCGGTGTATCGTAACACCGGCGGTCGATTGCTCATTTGAGCGGCTGCCGGGAGCATAACACCCAACGGCCGTTAGGAAATCTTCTCTACAAATGAGTCAGGGGGAATGGCTGTCGTAGGAACCTTTGGATTGACTCGACATAGAGGGTGTGATGTGGGCTAAAGTTCAAGGTCGGGGGCCACGCTCCCCCGGTTAGTCCGGCAACGCATGGGAAGTCTGCTTATGGAAGAGAAGGGAGGGCGCGAGCCCTTGGCGATGACTCAAGCAGCAGCCGGAACACCGGTGGTTAGCAAGCGCAGGTTGTGCCACTTGCCGACAGTATATCATGGCTCCGCACGCAGACAGCCACCATGCCGATGCAAAGCCCAAGCACCACACCGAAGAGAAACATCCCGGCTTGAAGGTGGCTTTTGGGACGAGGAGCAAAGTGCAGGTGAGCACATCGTGTTCGTGCAACCATTTCGGGTTTGCAGGTGCCCATTTTGGCGTGGAGTTTGTGAACCATCTGTTTCCTGTCTTGAATATCCTGGCTTGACCATGCAAGCTTTTGAACGCATGTTGCGTAGACGAGATTTCCGCGCCGGGCATGGCTTCAGTTTGCAGCGTGGCTACGTACATCTACATGCACAGACGCTATCATCCGCGCGTCAAGCAGCGCAGCCACGTACGCAGCTTCACGACTCGAGAAGCGCATGTCGCACGCGCATCAGCTGGTGTGGCCCATGTGCCAAATGTGGAGATCCCAATGGTGGACAGTCAGGGGCACCTCGCCACATACCACCGGGGCATTCGAGGGGTTTACGACCTACGACATCTGAACGGGCAGCTGTGTGCAGGGCCAACGAGGTCTCCAGTGGTGGAGATGCAGATCGATCCGGGCGATGAAAAACAGGGGAAAAAGAAGAGCTGCAAGCTCTAACAGAAACGGGGGCAAGGAAACCGCAACAGCTTCGCGACAGACTGGTAAGCAGCGAACATGGTTCGTCCTTGCCAGACCAGCTTCATGAAAGATATGAAAAGAGATGGTGTGGCAGTCCCTTAGATCATGACGTCTGAACGGCTGAACGGACACAGCTAGCTGAGTTGTGACTTGGGGGCAGTGGCAGCAGTGGCAGTCTTTGCAAAAGTGCGCAGCACGCGCTGTGCGCTTCACAAAAGTGTGAGCCTTTCTCGGAGGTGACCGGGGGACGCATAATGGATGTTGGCATGGTCATCTGATGGGTTGCCGTGCTTGTGAACCGGGGCACCTGGGCACAGAGAGACTGAGAGGGAAACGATCAAAAACGGTAGCAGTTGCGCTGATTTGGTTTATGTGGCAGGTTTTGGTCACGAGTGCTGGCCAACGTGGCAACGAAGATTTCTAGCAGCAGGGAGTGAAACCGGCTCCCCTTTGAGAATTGCTGAGTTGCATATGCTTTCAGCTTTGTTGAACTTTGTGATTGTGAGTCGCTCCCCTCAAAACCGGGTCGGTCGGACGAAGCCGTGCAGACCCCTCAGATCTTACCACTACCAAACGGGGTGCGCATTCGAGTGCCCGGGGGTGGAAGGCCCTCCTTTTCACCCTCAGAATCCAGAAAAAAATCCAAAACCAAAACAAAACAAAGAATAAATCGATGCAACAGGCGTGCTCCGAAAATCTCCGAAGTCCACCGCGAGTCTCAGTGAATGCCTTCATGTTGCATGCCACGTGTTCGTTCAGGATGGCTGAAGGGAACTTCTGAAATGGCTGAATTGGGAAACTACACTTCAGGGAATGTAAGCGAAGGCCGCGCAGCTACATCGGCTACATGAATAAAAAACGAGCATCAACAACTTAGCCCCCGTTTGGATGCTAACCCTAACAGCTTGCAGGATTTCACACAGGACATTGGGGATGTCTGCGGTGACCTGGTTCTATAACCCCTGCCTCCACTGTGCAAACCATTTCATACAAGTTCCTGCGAACGGCTCTGGACTGAGAAGCACTGATGATGTTGAAAGGGATGACACAACCGCCATCATATCATCATCATCATCATCACCATCATCATCATCATATTGTCAGCTTCAGCATCAGGCCCGTATCCATCATGTGCATCCATATACGCATTGACAGCAGCATCACCGGCACTTTTCGTCATCCATCATCATCATGATGTCGGTCCCGTTTGAGCATGAGCTATGATGCCCTTTCCGTGTCAGGGCGAAGCACGAGCCGTTCAGTAAGGTGTGATGGCAAGCGGTTTCAGCGATTGGAACTGGGAGTGGCGTCTGCAGGCTAGCAAGTTGACAGCGGTAAAAAGCATTAAGGCCCAAACGAAGTGGGGAGTAACCGACGCGTCAGAGGAGTGAGGCGTAACAAATCCAAGAGTGGGCATCAAAGTTTGAGACAATCGTTAAGCTCAGCATTAAACGTTCAACGTGAGGAGCATGAATGCTTGAACTCGGAAGTGGGAAAGGCATGCTCCAAATTGTAGCGAGAAGACTTCGCCTGACCTGGCAATGGCAAGCCAGAAGTCGTGAATGCCGTGGGCAGTTTCGGGTGGAGTGTGAAAGCCAGATACATACAAGCAGATTGCGCGGGGGGGCGAGAAGCAGCCTGCTCTTAACACCCTGCAGTTCCCCGTCAGACAATGCGAAGCATGTCGCACAAGTGAATGGAAGCCTGTGTTGCGCGGACTGGCGTGCGATTGACTCTACGTTCGAGCTCTGCCGCAGGCCGGTGCCATTGTCGAGTCTGTTGGAGAGGGCGTCCTGTCCGTGAAACCCGGCGACCACATCGTCCCCGGATACACACCGCAGTGCAAGGCCCGTGGGGCCTTGCAAGGGCCCAGAGCAAGGGCAGTGGCCCCCGCTGCCCCCGCTGGCCAGGGCTCCGACTGCATCTTCTGCATGAGCCCGAAGACCAACCTGTGCCCAAAGATCCGCGGCACACAGGGTAAGGGTGTTATGCCTGATGGCACATCCAGATTCACGCTCAAGAAGGCACGAGTTGTCATGGAGTTGTTGCTGAAGTTTCAAGGGGAAGCAACCTTGTTTCAGAACTGCGGCAGGATGGCACGACCATTTACCATTTCATGGGCTGCTCCACGCGGCTCAACTGCACTGGCCGTTCCCTTGCAAAGTTAAGCTTAGTCAGAGTCCTCTGGCCTCTGGCTTCCAGTTCTTTTTGGAACACTGAGGTTCGCGGAGTACACCGTGCTCGCCGAAATTTCCTGTGCGAAGATCAATCCTGAGGCTGACTTGGAGAAGCTTCTGGAACGCGCTTGATTTGATGTGGCTTTGCGCTGGAGCCGCAGAAGGCCGCGAACATGTACAAGCCATAAGCCGAGGATGTGTCTGTTTGGTTGTGGCATTGCCACTGGACTGGGCGCCGTCTGGAATAGCGCGAAGGCTGTGCTAGATCCGAAACGGTCGATCCAGCATGATCCAGCCTTTCAAACCTTTGCGTAGCCGAGTTTCAGGTTGATCCCTTCTCCACCGTGGTTGTCTTTGGCCTTGGAGCCGTGGGTCTGGCGGTGATTCAAGGCTGTAAGGCAGTGAACTGCACCAAAATCGTCGGAGTTGACACGAACCCCAAGAAATTCGACATCGCGAAGCAGCAGCTCTGCTGACAGAGTACTTCTGGGTGTTCGCTTCGCTGCTTGCAGCTGTTTCCCAGCCAGCGCCCTGAACATGAGGTTGGGTTGCACTGAGTGCATAAATCCGAAGGACTACGACAAGCCTATCCAACAGGCACTGTTCGGTTTCGGTTTGAGCCTGCTGCACTGCTTCCGTGCTGCTGATCAGACTCCTGAGGTGTTGGTTGAGATGAGCCCGACCAAGTTTGGATACGACTATACTTTCGATTGCACTGGCAACACCGATGTCATGCGGGCGTGCCTGGAGGTTTGCGTATGCGTCGATGCATCTCCAAGTCCTGTGAAACGCATGACTCCAGACGAATACTGAACGCTGTACAGGCCTCGCACAGAGGTTGGGGTCAGAGCTGCGTCATTGGCGTGGCCGCTGCAGGCCAGAAGCAAACCTTGCCGTGATTTTATGTGGGTTCTTCATGACCAGGGTTTGTTGTTGGGCATGTACGCTGTGAAGATGTCCGGTCAACCCCCGAAGGCAAGGAGCTTTCAACACGCCCTTTCCAACTGGTCACTGGTCGGCGCTGGTTGGGCACGGCCTTTGGTGGCTGGAAAACTCGAGATGCCATCCCTATGCTGGTCGACAAGGTTGTCCTCTCCCGCTCTCCCTCTCTCACTCTCCCTCTTCCTGTCTCCCTCCCTCCTCTCTCTCTCTCTCTCCCTCTCTGGACGCAGGTACCAGCTTGTTGGCAATACTCTGGCTTGTGCAGGCCATGAAAGGCGAAATCGCCCTCGACCACTTCATTACTCATAGGTTTGAAGGCATGGCAGGCTCGCCCTCAATGCGCTGCTTGTCGCTCTCTCGTGTTGGCAGGACTCATCTTGTCGTGTTCGGCAGGTCAGAAGCAGGCAATCGAGGCTTTGCACAGTGGCGACTGTCTGAGGGCGGTGGTCCGGTACGCGCCGTACACGCCTCCACCTCGGACATGAATTCTGTCAACCAACCTCCCTTACGGGCCCCTCAACACTTGTCACACCTGTACAACCCAACCGCCCCTCCGAAAGTCCTCAGTGAAGCTGCGACGTGAAGGCGTCGAAATTTGTGGCAAAAAACGGTGCTTGCAGGGTGCTAACCAAGTAGGATCCCAGCCAAAGAGAGTGGAAAGAGCGCCAGGCCTCCGGTGAGGATGTCGAGGTGGGCGCCTAGGAAGCTTGAGAGTGCTGCGGTGCGTGACGAGATGTGACGAGATCTGAGGGAGCCGACGGCGACGACGCCGAGGCAGCCTCTGTTCTTTGCCTCTCTGCTCTCTGCAGAGCCTTCGTGCCGAGTTTGGAGCCCGGAGCCAGCGAGCAAGCAGGCGCCGTGGAAACGGCAGAGGCGGAGACCGCGACGGGGAGCCGAAGAGAAAGGCCCAGGTCGGCGGGGCGCGTGTCGAGGGCCATGCGATATCTGCTACTGCTGCTATTGTTGGGAGATTTCGGAGGTGAAGCTGTGGATCCGGAGACGGCCACGGCCAGAGCGGAGGCGTGTCTGCGACTTGCGAGTGCCAAAATGGAATGTTCGCTGCCTGTCTCTTCACTGCAGAGGTGAATGGTGGGAACGGCGAAGAGACGCTAGGCAGGTACCTCCCTAATCGTGTCTTGCGAGCATACAGCACATCGGCCGAAACATTCGAAGAAGGCCTCGCCGCCTACCACGATGCCTTGCTGGGCGTCTGACGCCGTGTACTACTTGGCTGCACAGCCATGGTGGAGCACGGTGTTTGGAGACTGTGCTTGTTATCGGACTTGTGGTCCTGTGGCACAGCGGCAGATTTCTGCGCGACTCGAGCCAAAAGCAAGCACGCGCGAACTCGTCAGAGATCTGTATGGTCAGCATAGATGTCCTGTTGTCCGACACTTTACCAGATTTTCGCATGGGATGCCCGACAAAGTTTGGGAGTTTGGTGGCGGTAAAGATGTTGGGGTAATCGTTGGTAGACTGCTTTCCCTCCCCCATAGGGCCGTACCCCTTCGTTAGAGGGAAGTACAACATCTGTGTGATATGTGTGGGGATGGGTATTTCGATCAAGTGCTGGAAGCGGCTTGCTGACGTCACTGACAAACTGTAAACATGCTCGTACAACTTTTGATTTGTTCGTGGTCCTCTTCCTACTTCAGCAAACTGCTAGGAAGTGCCTAAAACCAGGGTTTGATCTTGCGGGTTTGATGTTGCGCTTTCTGTTACTTCGTGCTTTTGCTTGGTCGAGAATTCGGCGAGTCGGTGAGCATCAGCAGTACCTTCGAGGCAATGTATAGTACTTGTTTGGAGCAGGTATCTTCCCGTTGCATTGCATACGCCAAAAGGAAAAAGATTAACTAATGTAGAAGCATGGCGACAATTACAGCCTGGTGTGCAACAGAAACCAAGGGATGGGGGTGCGGACTTGAGAGGGCGGTGCTTTCTGCGATGAGCCGCTGTCGATGTTTGCTTCACCGGGTCGAGCTGTTGGGGTGCACATGGGGTGCACGCTTCCTACCTCCTTTGATGCTCGCAGCTCCGGTTCAAGCGGCGGTTTTGCCGGAGCCGTGCCATGCCAAAGTCTGGAGCTGAGGGATTGCAAACGAAGCCGGCAAAGGAGCTGTGCACCTTTTCCGACTCCCACTTGCATGTTGCACTCGGCCGGGTCTTGTTTCAGACGCTGCCTTTGACCGCCAGACTTGTGGCTCGCTCAAAGCCCAAGCGGGGCGACCCGCTACCATGCACCGTGCAGAAGTCCTGGCGCGGCAAGTCCTGGCGGCAGCCTGTGCGGCGCCACCAGATGTCGTCAAGGCTTTTTGCCTAGGAGTATATGATTATATGTTTGTGTTGCCAGCCTTATGCAGAACTAGTTCGAAGGAGATGGCACCAACAGGTAAACTCCGTGTCGCGCTGAACATGCAGCACGCTCAGCTTCTCTCTGCTGCCAGCAACGGTGCCCATGTTACGTTCTTGCAGGTGGTTCTTTTCCCATTGTTGTGCTGATCACAAGTCTCCTTTTTGCTTGATACGATGGACACCTGAGTTGATATGAATTCTGTGAGGCGAAACGAGCTTTTGGTAAGTGGCAAGTCCGCCAGCGGCGAGCCAGAGGCACATGTGCCTCACTTGTCAGCACGGCTTGCAGTCACTTGCTCCGGAGTGGCATCCTGTTCTGAGTCGTTCCATGGCTCGTATGTATTTTGCAGCTCTGGCAGTTTGCGGTGTACAGCCTTGCAGGGCTTGGCACCATCTATGGGTGCAGCATTTGCCGAGAAGCTCGGAGTTCCCGTGGAGCATCTTCGACGAAGCAGATTCCCCTAGTCGTAAGAAACGGGTCGCCGTGCTGGTCGGATACTATGTATGTCTTCAATTTGCACTCAAGATCTTTCAAGGTGGTAGTAAGGATGGTCCGGATCCGCCGCACCGTTTGTTTACACGACAGCTGACATCGGTCAACTTGGATTGCAAAGCTGTCGGAGCCGTTCTAAAGGCTTTTGGGAGCCTTGCAAAGGTTTGTGCCTTACGAGTCTGCTGACAAGCTGGCTGATGATGCGATGGAGCCTGAGCAACCTGCGACAACAGTGCTTGAGGCAACCTGCAGCACATATCAATACTCAACATCCAAACCTCAGGAAGGAAGACAAGTGGGACGTCGCGATGATTGGTGCTGATCCCGCCCGAGCAGAGTTCATTCAGTTTACAGCTCCTTACTGCCAGATCGAGGCCACTTATGCGTTCTGGCTGCATGTCTGGCGTGCTTTCCGATTGCCGGCTTCGTTGCACGCCCTTGGACCCTAGACGGATTCCATCTAAGGCTGTGCCAACGACTTCAGGTCTTCGCACTTGTGCCGAAGTGGACAAAGCCGGTGTAAGAATTGCTGGTTGTGAAGGGGCCGCTTATGTTGCTGGTCCGCAATCACGCAGGGGGCAAAGATGATGTGGCGCCACAGCATGCCGCAGCCAGCATCTCGTAGATGTGCCTTTTCTTCTCTACTCCAAGGTCCTGTGGCTAGAGCGCAACCTCAAAAATGCAACTCTCGAGAAAATCAAGGGCCACGATGCCACGACACTCGTCTGACAATCCCAGGTCTCCAAACCCCGCATGCAGATTTGTGTATAGACGGCGAGCAGGGTGTAGGGATGCAGGTACGAGCAGTTCAAAGAGACGGCAATGGAAGCGGTTGCCGGGTTACGACCAAAGCTGAAGAAGGACGGTGCCAAGCGACCAGGCGGGAGCAAGGCAGACGCCGTGAGCTCTGTTGTGTGTTTGAGTGGTGTCTAGGGGCTGCTCAGTGGCAGGCACCCGTCTGCTCCCTGGAAAGTTCATGGCTGTTGAGCAGGCCGCCGCGACAAAGAAAGGCAGGGCGACGCAATTGCGAGTGCTTACATTACCGAGTTTCTGCACAGTTTCCAGTCGGATCTGTCCAGGCCGGGAGCAGGGTTTCAAGCTGCTCAGTGAGTTCATCGAAGAGGCTTCTCGTCGATGGGACGAGCGAGCTGTCTCTTTCCTGCGACGGCCAGAACATACTACTGTGCAAGGCAAAGAAGTCTGGCACGGTGAAGGAACTTATGAAGAAGTTCAAGGTGGAGAAGGATTTGGCCATCCCCTAAGGCAGGGCCAGGGGCGTGCCGGAGCATCTTTGGAGTCCTATTGACTTCGATGCAGGCCACAGCGGCGGAACGCGCAGCCCTGAAGTGAAAGGACAGTGTTTAAGCCTCTCTGAGACCGCTCGGTTTCGCATTTGGCATGCGTGATCACGGATCATGATCCTACGATTCCTTCGGTGCGGTCTGAAGAGAGGTAGAATGACGTGGGCATCTGTACAGAGGTTAATCAGACATGCGCATCCCATGGCTTGAGCCAGGATGCGGATTTTCCGATCTAACAGTCAACCCAGACAAAGACTCCAGAATTCCTGTCCAGTAAAAAGCAGCTTTCGTTGTTTGTGCAGAAACACTTTTGAGGCGGCTGGGTTCAATTTGTTGTGGCTTTCCTGGCAACTAATCTGAAACTTAAGGTCAAAAAGGAACAAGGTCATCACCTTGACCAAGGTCAAGAAAAGACCGAAGGCCATGGACTGCAATGGAGCCTGTCCACAAGTCCATGCCAGTTCATGTCCACACTGCAGCAGGAAAAGAAAGACGAGCTCATCGATGGCATCCGTGAGTCACTCACCCAGCTGCAGATCGTGCGCAGCCAATGTAGCTCAGGGCAGGGCATCTGAGAAGCCCTCTGCTGCTGGAGGTCTTGCGAGGAGTTCTCCAGAGTTTTCTTGGTTTCCATCGAAAACGAGCGCAACCAGTTCATGCAGGACTGCAGCCGTCCTTTGAAGAGGGTTCCCATTAACAAAATGAAGACCAGGAGATTAGAAAACGTCTCAGACCCGGAAAGCTTGTCTGCGCCAAGAACAAGGCGCCCGGATATCAACGGATCGGCGCCGTCTGAACAGACGCAATCTGAACTGCCCGCGATGGCAGGTCATGCAGACTGCCCTAGGAATGAGCCCTGAAAGCGAGTGCCAGGAGATGGGTGCAGAGCCTTAATCCCACCACTGCCATTCCATGTGTGTCAAGTTCACATGCATCTCCAACAGGACAACGTGCATAAGATTGCAGAAATGATTAATGGTCACTGTGTTGCGGGCTTAAACATACTTCCAAGCCGACCCTCAGCACCGACATGTGCATTCGAGGCTCTGCTGTTCACAAACTCGACGCCCGAACAGGTGCACAGTGCGCGGCAGTCTTGCTCGCCGTGATGTACTGGTGTATCACAGGTGGAATCAGCTTTTGCAGCCTATCGGCCCAGTGCGGCAGCCTGAGCCAGAATGCTGCGGCGGCATGTCTCGATACAGCTGGACCAAGGATTTTGCACGGAGTGGGTCTCTGGCAACTGACACGGTGGTGCTGCCAAAAGGCGAGTCTTTTGTTAACAGATTCCACGTCAGTGCTCTGCTGACTGCAGGGACCGACGCGCTCGCGAGCCTCCCACACTCCATCGAGGTGAGCTCGAGGGCTACTGGAGACAGCGATGTGGCATCCTGGTAGAAGGTCAAGCAAAGCAAAGCAACCGTGCATCGGGGGGCGGGGGCAAGGTCGATTAAGAGACGGACGGCAGCATCGAAGGTTGAGTTTGTCCCTGTCTTCCGTTGCGGTGGCGGATTTGCAAACTGGCCTCAGTAAACCCTGGGGAGCACCAGCATCTGAACACCTGCCACGAAATCAGCTACGCCTATGCTTCACTGCGCTTCCTGGTTCTGAGCCAGGGTGGCAGGCATTGCATTTTTTGATTTTGTTTCGGAAAGATGCCAGATCCAATCTGTCTCTTTGTCTGACTCAATTTTCGGTTGAGGGCGAGTACCGTTCCTCATTTTTGGGGTTGGCATTGTTGGTGGGTGGGCAATCCTTCATCGCTCACCGGTACCCGGCAGCGTCGGGAATAACAGTTTGTACCCATCCTCCTCTCCGTGAATGTTTCCTCAGTCCGCCAACACGACCTCAGCCCTCCGCTGCTGCGCTCCGCGCAAATGCTTTTCACGAGCGACGAGCTTGCAGCTGTGATGTGTTGTTCGTTATCTGCGCAGAAGTGATGATAACGATGTTGACTTTGTCGACGGAGTGCCCTGCTGTGACATTGTGCGAACAAGTGCAGCGCTGTCGAGGGATGCATAGGAACAAGAACGCGTGAGCGCCTTTCCGCCAACTCCAACAATCTCAGCAAACGTGCCAATCAGCTTCCTCCGCCCATGGCATCGGACCTACAAACGGCCAGGCCCATCTGAGACAGCTGGGCCTTCCGACGGTTCTCAAGGAGGTGCCAGCCAGTGTTGCTACTGAAACTCTTGCAGCATCGTTGGTACATGTGATGTGGTTCGATGTGATAAGACAAGGCTCTGTGCAGGGCCATAGTAGCCAGTGAGGAATCAGCCTGTCCGGATTGAGGCAAACATGGATGCCGTGTCGGTTCAACGCAGGCCAAGATCCACCTGCTGGGGGACCATACCGTATGTACGGCTGGCAAGGACACAGGGGACCGGATCCAGGTAAGCTCAGCTTTGGAAGTCTCGCTGTCTGACAGCTTGCGCAGCTCGTTGTGGCGAGCAGGAGCTCTCTGCAGACGCGGCGCAGGTACGGTGAGTCACAGTGCTTTGCTCCACGTTTGCCTGGCATGGCTTGGCTTTTGCAGGTCCTGAAGCTGCTTGGAATCCAGCAAGCGCAGTTCACCCTCTCCGTCGAGGCGCGACTTATAGGCAAGACCCTTACCCCTCCCGAATGCCTGAACGAAACGAGATGGTGAGGCGCACTGGCAGAAGGGTGGCGCTTTCAAAGACTGCTCGGCCTTGGAGGACTAGTGAGGAGGGCACTGCTAAGCAGCGCGCGCTCCGTCTTTGGGGTCCGAAGCGATGGGAGCTTTCGGCTTTCGAAGCTTTAGATAGTCACGTTTGTCCGTGTGCTGTAGTACTTTGCATATACTGCGCCACGGGTCCCTGCAGGTGAAGTGTTCGTGAAAAGGCACCGCCAGCCGCTACTGGTGGCGTCTTGCCATGACTGGCCTCAGCCAATGTACAAAGCTAAATCCAACATGGCCTCACACTAAGACGCCAAACAATGGTGCACAGAAGGCCGTCGCACAAGCCGTCTCACAGCTGAGGAGCCATCACGTACCTCATCGGCAGAGAAACGGTTTCGCATTTAGCGACACCCCGCAACCGACACTCCTAGCAACATCCAATATCGGTGGAAAGCCGACCAGAAATGCCAATGCGACACACATCCGGTTCTTTGGGTCTGTAAGCCTGCAAGACTAACATGAAGGGGACATGTGACTAGATGGCATGGGACTTTAAGTTGGCCTCTTGGCACTGCATCTTGACAAGAGCAGCAATTACATTCCTGCTGATGCACAGCCTGTCTCAACAGTGGCGCTACAGCTGCGAGCTCCAGCCGCTCAAACCAAACAAAAAGCAGAAGGTACAAGCATATCCGAAAGGCTGTAGAAGGGCAGTAGAAGCGGGTCAAAGAAGATTCTCATCAATGGAGGCACAGCAAACTCAGCAAAGGCTTTGACAAGGCGGAAAAGATCAACACTGACACGGAGTTAAAGCTCCAGAGAGCCAGTAAATGTGGGGGACAAACAAAACACGGTAGTGAGTGTATGCTTGTAAGATTTTGTGAGCTTTGCTTTCGTGTCACTCCTGTAACTTGTCATGGCAGGTTCTGAGAGGGGAGCAGTCTTGGTGGACCTAAACCACGGGGCCCTTCGCATCCACGCCGGGCTATTGTAGATTGTAAGGGCAGAACTGTGGGACTGGCAGAGTCCGAAACCTGTCGAGAATCATCGCAGGTGGTTTGCTAGCATGGACCAAGAGTGTTCCAGCACTAACCAGGCCCAATTGTTGAGGAGTTTTTGCCGAAGCTGTCGACTGCGAGCGTTTCCTGCATTTCCTGCCACGGAAGGCACGTTGTAGGGAGCAGAGGGCAGATCTGAACAGCGCAGAAAGCGTTCAGCGCCCGCTTTCCTTCGACCGCCAGGCAAGACCGGGGAATGGGGCTTCTTACTTTAGGGCATGCTTCTAACAGGAACTAGGTCTGTCTAGAGCAGATGTCCTTGACACCGTGGGGTACGATACTGTCATACAAACGCAGGTATCTATATGAAGTATTCCGAAAGCATGACACGTACCTTCCCATGAAATGACGGTCAGCTTCTACATTCTGTGGGAATGTCTCCAAAGTGACACTCATCTTAGACAAGAGTGTCACCTATCAAACTCAAGAATGACAGCAATTATTCTGCAGAAGCGTCACAACAGAGAGAGCCTTCCAGGACGCATGCGAGGCCTGAATGGCTGTCCAGAAACACAAATTAAGGCGGACAGTTTGGGATTTGGAAACAGCTCTGATTTTTATGTTCCAGCTGTGTGGAGCTACAGGAATGGCAGGTCCTTTCAAGGATCCAAAGCCGACAACGGTTTTTCCGGCCTGTAGTGGTAATCTTTGCCCTGAAGCTTGAACCTCTCTGCCGCCACTGTTGTAATTCTTCTGAAAGTAAGTGTCGATTTTTTCAGGATACAGTACGTGTCACGGTTGACTAATGGGTGTTATTCCTGTCCAAGATGAGAGTATTCTTCAAGGATAAACAGGAGTTTCGTGAGGAGAAAAGTGAGGGCTACAGTAAAGCCAGGCACATTTGGAATTACCTGCGACAGGTGCCTGCAGGATGTTTTGTCCCTTGGGCAACACTGCATCGCAGAGGCTGTGATGGGAGGGTGGCGTTAGGCGAAGACGCAGTGTCAGACACTCCCTTGCAATGAATCGGCTAGGTTGCGCGGCTCCAGCGCAGGAGCAGCTGGCGCACCATACTATGATCAAATGTCAGGGAAGGCAACGTATGTTTTTGAAGGAGGACGAGTTCAAGTCTCACTGCTCCATCGACAGCATATGCAAGGCGCTGCACACAACAGCCTGAGTGGAAGCATAGCTCAGTGCCATGTTTGTCAGGAGGACCTGCCGGGCATGAGCCCTGGGTGCAGAGGTGAGCAACTGCACGCGGCCAAGCAATTCAATTGAGCTCAGAGCAACGGTGCAGGCAAATCGTGATCCCTGCGCGTGGCTACACCCGAGCAGGCCCGGTTCTGCCAACTTTGTTAGCTCCGAAACTGCTGATGTGGAAAGTTAGTTTGTCGCTCGGAAGCTAACCTTTGCCAGAGAGAGCGTTTTCTCTTGGGAACACTCCTGGTCCCAAGGAGTCGGGAGAGCTAGTTTTTTCGGCAGAAGCGGGCCCGTTTCAAACTCAAACTAAACGTTGCTGCGGAAAGTTAGTCTCTGCAGAAACGAGCAGTCTGTATTACATGCTCTGTCACAGGCCACAAGCTGTCAAAGTTCACGTCAACCTTTTTCCTTTTCCTTTGAGCGTATGTTTGTGTGGGCGTGTGTTGAGAACACCATGCCATGACGTGCAGAGCTTGCATCAGGACCTTCTCCATCAATCAATGCTGGAAGCCTTGCTTGAAAGCGCATTTGAATCGAAGAGTTGTTCCGAACTTGTTGCTCGTGCTCTGGGCCGGAATGATCGCAACTTGAGGCTGAGCAAGCGCAGAAGCGGCCTGTCATCGCGAAAGCCTCTGATGAGATTCTCACGGTCATGGCTCTGTGAGTCGATGACTTGATGAGGAGCTCCAGGGCATGCAGCGTGGGCACAGTATGAAGGTCGCACCGGGACATAGTGCCCCCACTTCAGAATCGGATGATCCAGCTGCTTGAGGATTTAACAGACATCTTCAGTTCTCGAGAAGCCATTATGGGCTTTCCGAGGCAAAGTGCTTTGCACCCAACACTTCACCCTCGAGGCGTGCCTGCAGTCTGCTCGCAAGACTTTTGCGAGCCGACTGCATGTTGTCAGATGTTGTCACCATTGGCAGTTCGAGAATTGTCAGTTCAGACTTTTGCCAGATCGCCCCAGCGGTTCGACGCGACTCCGCGCACAGCCTCTCCGGTGCGGCCCTTTCAAAAGATTTGAATTTCTTTCCAGCCTGAAGTTGTCGAAGCCCACAGCCGCTCATGATTTGCTACGACTGCGTGTGCTTCGAACACTTGCGAGGTATTGTAAAAGGCCATGTGTCGTCTCGTTTTCCAAGTAGCATCAAAATTGCTGCGGCTGCGTCTGGCGATGCTTTTTCGTATCTTCGTCGCTAGACGTTGATCTCCTGCAGGTTTGTCGGCGAGAAGTCCAGTCCAGCACATCGAGCACAACGCGTGCAGGCGCCCCGAGAGGTCCGGAATCGAGATGGGGTGCATCCTCATGAAAGCGAGATGTGACAGGAGAGATATCAACGATGTACGTTGCGAGGGTGGGTCGGAGTCGCGCCACAACCTTGAGCTGTGCGGAAGAACCCATCTCGAGAAGTTGTCCGAAAGAGAAACCTGAGGCAGACCTTGTCGTCGGAAGATCTAGAAGTTGCTCGGATGTGTGGGGCTCTTAGAAAGTTCCGTGGCTATCCAAGCGTTGGTGGTCACGACAGCGTGTCAACATGCAAAGAGCAGGTGTCGTGGTGGTGGCAACACCTCTCAACCACAAAGAGGCACCGAAGCAGGCGCTGGTATGGGGTGCCAATGGCCAAGAGACAGCATAGAAAGATTCATGGGTGCCTGCGGAGTTTTCCGGGCTATACTGGTAGGAAGCACCCCCCACCGTCTGCTGGACACCAGTGTTCGACGAGCAACGCTGGTGTTAGACTTTGTAAGCCAAATACTCTGCATGGGGTTCGTTGCGTGGTTGAGTGCCTGCCAAGCGACGGGAAGCAGTCATTCTTGCGACGAGCGTCAATGATAACGCTGGTAGTAGGCGCAAGCAAGTCATACCTAATGTCGGCTGCCGAGTCGAGTCGGCTTGGGTTTCGGGAATGCTAGCACCGGGCGCACACAACCCAAACCACGAAAATTGGCACTTTGCAAAGGGTTTAGCGAAATCGCAACATGGGCCAAAAAGCCAAAGCTTGGCCAACTTGCGGTACTCCAAACTCCAAATCCCCAAAACCCTTACTTTTGCAATTTTCGTGGAAGTGATACAAACGGTACGAGTAGTGCAAGTTGCAAGTGGTACGAGTGGTGCAATTGGTACGAGTGGTGCAAGTGGTACGATTGGTGCGAGAGAGGTGAAAGCAATCAAGATGACCAAGACGACCCCCAAACAAAAATATCCCGACCAGGATGACGCGTCATCCTGCCCCCCCCCAGAATGTCCCCGAGCAAGATGACCAAGATGGCTGAAGCGACTCGTCAATTTCCCCCCAACATCACTGTCCTAGCAAATGATGCGTCATCTTGCCCCCTGACAGTTCTCGATTCACGGCACGCCGTAGCAGTAGTACAGTAGTAGTAGTAGTAGTAGTAGTAGTAGTAGTAGTAGTAGTAGTAGTAGTAGTAGTAGTAGTAGTAGTAGTAGTAGTAGTAGTAGTAGTAGTAGTAGGTAGCAGGTAGCAGGTAGCAGGTAGCAGTAGTAGGTAGTAGGTAGTAGTAGTAGTAGTAGTAGTAGTAGTAGTAGGTAGTAGGTAGTAGTAGTAGGTAGTAGTAGGTAGTAGTAGTAGTAGCAGTAGCAGGTAGCAGGTAGCAGGTAGCAGTAGCAGGTAGTAGGTAGTAGGTAGTAGGTAGTAGGTAGTAGTAGTAGGTAGTAGTAGTAGTAGTAGTAGTAGTAGTAGTAGTAGTAGTAGTAGTAGTATAGTAAGTAGTAGTAGTAGTAGTAGTAGTAGTAGTAGTAGTAGTAGTAGTAGTAGTAGTAGTAGTAGTAGTAGTAGTAGTAGTAGTAGTAGTAGTAGTGGTGGTGGTGGTGGTGGTGGTGGTGGTGGTGGTGGTGGTGGTGGTGGTGATGGTGGTGGTGGTGGTGGTAGTGGTAGCAGGAACATGAACAGAACATGGATCAGGAGGAACACTGGGAAACCACAGTGGCAACTCTGGAATCCGGGCAGTACGCCCACAGTGTGACTATTTTCGAACCTCTGTATCGCAACGTTGCAACCGTCAGGAAAGTGACTTTATGGTCCATTGCCGTATGTGTGGCTTGTTTCTTTCGCGATGTTGTTATTTGCGCAGATTGAGCTTTTGCTTCGATTTGTCTTTTGCGACATAAACCCGGCAATGTACCATTCCACTGTCAGTCTGGGAAAGCTTTGACGGTCAGGCAAAGCTGGAGAAGCAGCTGCGCGCTCCTCTGCCTCTCAGAAGGCCGGGTGTGACAATGCAGTTGGTGCACTTTGGAATATGACTTCACGACCAGAGACTTTTCTTCAAGACTCCTTCAACCGGTGTGTCTTGGAGGAAAAAGAGAAGATCCAGCCTCGCGGTCAGCTGACAGAGACGCGACGGGCTGACTTCTCAGTGATTGGATCCCTGCACATAGCATACAGAAGGCGACTATGCGAGCACATTTCCAGAGTTGTAGTCTGTTCTTGTGTCGACACGCCTCCCCGGTCCGCGCATGTACTTGCGACATATACAAAAATGTACATAAATACAAAATAGTAAATCAATATGGATAGAAGTAGATATACATACAGTAGTTGCATCTAATCTGATATAAACAAGTATGAATAGGTTTAACCTTATCAATGAGTTTAAAGAAGTATTAAAAAGTCATGAATATGAAATGTAAATAGGTTGTTGCAGGTGTAGGCATAGACGAAGGCTTAGACGTGGGCATGGGTGTAGGTGTAGGTGCATGTAATGTATATGTATGTGTATAGAAGGTATATGTATCTGTTTCCCTATATGTGTGTGCGTGCATACGTATATGGAAGTGCAAAAAGGTACTGGCATATGTACGTACTTACACAAACCTGCAGGTTCTGTTCTTTTGCATGCATAAACCCATATCATATTTTTTCTCATTTTGATTCGGGCAGCTCTCGCTGAGGGCTTCGGCTTGTGATTGCAGTCTGAGCTGAGGCCACGAACGACCGTCCATCCAGCAGCTGAGCTGCAAATCTAGTTTGATGAAAGATGACTTTGGGCCCGGACAGTCTCAGCCGGTGTTCTGTCACAAGAGACCAGTTGGTGAGACGAGGCTGCAGCGAAGAGTCGCCGGCGCCACTGCCCGGGCCCACAAGATCCGCAAGCGCAAGCACGCATCAGAGCAGCCATGTCTGTGCATCTGATGCGCATGCTGTGCGAGGAAGCTTGTTGAACGAGGCTGTGCATTGCTGCAGCTCGCTTGAAATAGGGGGATGCTGCAGTCAAAAACTGGGAGGTCCAGCAACATCCCCACAGAGAAGGCTCGCCTGCGCATGGCAGTTCCCATGATACTCGCCTTTGCTGCCGGTGTCAGGGCTGGTGACATTGCGGGACGAAAGGCTGAGGCTGACTGCGGGCATGCGTCGCTCCAAGACGGAACCAGCATCGTCATAGGCGTCTTCGAGGGATGCTGCGCCGATCTACCGGTGGACAGGCTTGGGGTGCCACTAGCAGCCACAAGGTGTGCTTGGTTGCTACCACGCCTCCGAGCATGAAAGGCCCTGAAGAGCTTTGCAGGTTGGGGGCTCGATCGTTAGCTCCGCTGCTTGTAGCTGGATACTGCTGCATGGTGTCGGGAGGCAAGAGATCCAGGCGGGCCGCCGGCTTGGTCATGCACCTTCAAGGATGATGATTCGCCTCACTGCCCGTCTGCCTGTGGCACGAAGGCCGCCGTGCGGCAGGTTACGGCCTCATGGAGTCAGGAACCTGCAGGCACGCCCGCAGCGGTCTCGTGTGCCCAACTAAAGCTATGCCTTCCAAGGACCTCCAGAAGGTGCAGAATTTGCTCGTAAAGAAGCTGTACAAGCAGCAGGTCTCTGCATTCTGTTCCATGCTCAGCTGCAAACAGGCCCAGGACAGAGTGTTGCGGCTTGCGACAAGTGCAACTTGATCGGCCCTCTGTTCCTCTTTGCGCAGAGGCATGCATGCGTATGTAAGCAGATATGTGAGTGTTTCTACATGTATGTATGTAAGTATGCATGCATGTATGTATGCGTTCATACATGGTTGTTTGTTTGGTTGCTTGTTTGCATCTGTTAGTCTGTGTATTTACGAATCTAAGAGTCTATGTTGCTACGCATTTATTTTCGCATCTATCTATCTATGCATGCATTCCTGTCTGTCTGCATGTCTGTCTGCCTGTCTGTGTCTGTCTTGGTGTCTGTCTGTCTGTGTGTCTGTCTGTCTGTCTGGCTGTTCGCCTGTATGTATGTATGCATGTATGTATGTATGTATTTATGTATGGAAGTATGTATGTACGCAGGTATGTATTTATGTCTGTATGCATGTAGGCATGTGTGTATGTACGTATGTACGTATGTATGAACGTATGTATGTATGTATGTATGTATGTATGTATGTATGTAGATAGCGATGTCGGTATACGGGCATGTACGTATATATATATATATATATATACATACGCTTGCACGTATGCATGCATTCGAGCGTGCATGCATGAATCTATGTATCTATGTCTATGTGCTTGTGTCTCTATGTGTCTATACCTATGTATGTATATGCATATGTATGTATGTATGCATGTATGCATGAATGCATGTGCATGGATATATGGACGTATGTATGTATGTATGTATGCATGTATGTATGTGTGTAGGTATGTGTTCGTGACATGTGTATGTTGGTGTGTGTGTGTGTATGTATGTATGTATGTATGTATGTATGTATGTATGTATGTAGGTATGTATGTTTATCCGCCATGAGCTTGGCCTCTCCTCAGGCCTTGGGCAGCGGGCTCTCCCTCCGTGCGGCTCAGACCAAGGAAGCGCAGGCCGAACTGCTTCTTCTTCAGTGCTGGGGGGAACAGCCAATGGACCTCGATCTCACGGGCAAGCGCCACAACGAGCAGGAGGACACAGAGGAGCCGGAGAAAGAGAGGGACGCGAAGTGGGCCCGACCGGAATCCAAGGGTGGCTTCGGAAGGGGCGGACAGGGCAAAGGGAACCAAAGCCAGGGCAATCAGCCGAGCAAGGGCAACTCAGCGGGGAGTCGAGCACGCCGCCCGCTGTACCGACGTCCTCAGGACCCGGAGGGCAAAGCTACCGAGGGAATGATGTGGCTGCTGGGCAAGCTTCTCTTGCGCTAGGAAGATCAGATGGGAATCGATCGGACCCAGCACGGTTTCGTTATGTTCTTCAAGCGGGAAAGCGCTCTCTCTCTTGTCCCCCTCTTTGTGCAGAACGCCCAGCACTGGAATTCCCTGAAAGAGCAAAAGCAAGAGAAGATGGACGAGATCGCCCTCCCACTCCGGACCTTTCTCTTCCACACTATGCTGGAGACCCTCATCAAACGCATCAAAGAAACAGTGAAGAACCCACAGCAGCTCCAGACAGCCACAACCTTGCAGGTCTTTCTCCCCCGGGAGGAGCATGCCGAACATTGCCGAACTGACGATCCCGTTTCTGGTCTACAACCCAGAGACCAAATCCCTAGCCCTGCGGAAGGATCAGGAAGCCATTCTGGTCCCAGCCATGATCGAGCTGCTCCAGAGTTGATCCGTCTACCCACTGGCCGTTGTTACTCCGCATCCGCAACAGCTCGAATCACTGCTATGCCAACTCGGTGCTGTGCTGCCTTCTTTGGGCAAATCGCCTTCTTTGTGTCCCCAGGTAATTTGGATTTCGGTTTTGCAATCAGTCGTGCAGCGAATGACTTCACAGGCGCCGGCGCCTGACCTCTCGAACATGCTGCAATGGTCACTGTTGCACAGCAGTTGGTCTCAACCACATGCCCAGCATGATGTGGCTGAGTATCTCGGATTCTGCCGCAGGTTCATGATTCCAGATCTGCTTGTGGGCAGGTGGCAAAATCGTTTGCTCATCCAGGATGAAGACCCGGTGCACTGCCAGGTACGCGACTGTGGGGATGCATGGCCGATGTTCTTGGCCACGCCGCTCACTCAGATCGGCTATTCCGTCAGTGGCCGACCAACCATTTAACGACTCATCCATGCTTGGCAGGGTCAAGCGGCAGACGGGCTCATTGCCTTTGATGATGAGCCGGCCCTGTTGGTTTTGCAACTGAACAGGTTCTGTAGTGGTGCTGCAGGTGGTAAAGACACAACCAGCGGCATGCCTGATCCATGCATCCTTGTGCCCTGCTTTCGGCACCCTCCCTCTTTTGATGCTTCAACCCTGCAAACTCGCAATTGTGAGTACAGACTAGTTGCCATCATCTCGCACGAGGGCGCTGTAGCCACCTCGGGCCACTACCGTGCCGTTCTCTGTTCCCATCCGCCCGATGCGGAATCCGCCTTCTGGCACTGCGATGATGAAAAAGAGCCAGCGGTGTCCGCTCAGCTTCCGCCCGATGTACTGGTCACTGGATATCTCTACTTCTACTGCCGCATTCAACAATCATGAGCTTGTGGGACGTATTGGCCATTCGTGGCACGTCCCGCATCATCCACACCCAATCGTGGTTTCGCTTATGATTGCCAGCACGGTTCTCCTATTATCGGCTAGGTAGGTCTGGAATAGGAGGGTCACACTACAGCATGAGATCAGCATGCTCTTTTGACTTTTGATCACCACGTTGATCCGTGGCCATTTTGGGTCGAGACGATCGTCTCGATCCGCGAAGGATCTTTTTGTCGATCAGGTGAGGTCTAGGGCCTGGGTAGCTTTCGCTCGAGCTATGGCTGGTTGGGGTCAGGACGCCTGGGGTCAGCAGCAGGCTGATCAGCCTCAGCCCTATGCTGGTTACCCTAATCAACCGAGGGGCCAGTGGGCTGGTCAGACCCAGCAAGATCGCAGGGAGAGACGCCACCGCCGTGATCGTGGTGGTGATCGTTTTCCGAATGCTGCTCATAACCCTTATGAGGTTCGTCTGCCCCAGAACATTGAGTCGATCGCTACCTGTGACGATGACGATCGCAAGACCTCGATCATCATGGTCGACACCAGAGATGAGAGGATCGTCTCGCCTTTTCAGGCATGGCTGGTCCGGGAGATTATGACGAACGCCTCCTCCTCGACGAACGTCTTGACGGAGAGAGATCAAGTCATGACACCCAGTTCTGGGTACCACATGTCGCTCTTTGCCAACTACACTCTGGATGGCATAAAAGCGACACTGGCGATCTCAGTGGACTCCACGACAGGAGTTCCCTGTGGAGACTGGTCTGCTCAGACCGCCAAGGCGCTCGCCCACGAGGCTTTTCAGCCCTTCTCGTGGCCGGTGCTCAGGGACACGTCGCCATCGTACACCGATATCAAGGTGTACAATGGATCGCTGGACAGCGAAGATCCTTGCTTACCCATGTTTCGACCATGGGTTTCGCCAGGCGATCGTGGCGACCCGGCTGGCGGAGATCCCTTTTGTTCTTTCAATGGACGCCGGGACGCCTGAGCAGTTCGCCGCGGTGTCTCTCGACTGGACGGCCAGCTCGGCCAAGACGGAGCACGACCTCCTGGCTCTGAGGACCCAAATGCTCGAACAGTACTGGGTCTTCGTGAAGGCGGCGGAATCGCTCTTTGTCGAGTCTCTCGGCTACCAGATGGGCTTTGCTCGCTGCTCTAAGGTGCCTAGAGAACGTTCTGCAAAGTCGATCGCACACTTTCAGCGGGAGATGGCCATCCGAGCTCTAGCTGCACCAGTTCTGGCTCCTTCGGCTAAATCGAGGCTGCCGGCAAGCTCTTCCTCTCCCTCGGCAACTCCATTGCTCGACTTGGAGAACGCCGAGAAACAGAAATGGGCTAAGCGCTTGAAGGCGATCGCCGATCGGGCCGGCGAACACGCTCGGCCCGAAGGGGTCCACGATGCTGAAGGGATCCTTTCGGAAGAGGAACGCGCTCGCCTTTGGCTGTTGGTTTTCACCTCGGGGGCGCCTTCTACCATGGCAAACCACATTCGTAGGTTCGAGAAGTTCGAATTGTGGGCTCGGCACGTGCCGCTCCCCCTCTACCCCATCTCGGACGACAAGATCCTGAAGTACGCCATGGAGCTCGACTCGAGGGAGTGCGGCCCGACTGTTCTTCCTTCGCTCCGCATGGCTCTGAAATGGGTGGCCTTTCGGATCAACCTCAAGCTTCCTTCGATCGAGACAGCGGAGCTAAAGGCGCTTGAGAAGGAGATCTTCACACAGCGAGGGCGACCGCTGAAGGAAGCGATCGCTTTCCCGCTTGAGCTGGTCCAGGCGATGGAGCGCTTTGTCGCCAACGAAGCTCACCCTGTACCGGCCCGGGTGTTCCTCTGGTGGGTCCTCTGCATGATCTTTGCGTCGCTCCGCTTTGACGACGCGATCCACGTGAAGCCTCACGAGCTAGAGGTCAAGCCGGACGGTCTGTTCGGGATCTCCTGGCAGACCAAGACTGAGAGGAAGCGGCGCGGCACCAAGTTCATGGTTCCAGACGTTGCATTTTCTAAAGTGGCTTGGTTCAAGATCGGGAATGACTTGTTCGAGTCGCAATTCCCGCTCGTGGAACGCGACTTCTGGATCCCCGAGCTCGACACGAAGGAGCGCTGGCGCCAGACTCCCCCTGATTACGCTCGCTCTCTTCAGTGGCTCCACCACCTGGTCTGGCTCGCAGGGCAGGAGAGTGGGGTCGCGAGGGAGTTCCTGGACAAAGTCACCGATCTTACGTGGCATTCAGCTCGAGTAACTATGCTTGATCTGGCTTGGCTGTCCATTGTGAACGATCGGAGCAAGAGATCGGGGTTCAGGCGAACTGGAAGAACCCCGGCCCGCTCGTTCTGAAATACACGCGCTCGAGGTCCTCTCTTCCAGCTAAAATGATCAAGGAGTTGGTACAGGAGGTCTCGCGCGAGTTCGTGCCCCTCTGTGCTCAAGAGGATGACACGATCG